CGCGACCTGTTTGATTCACAGGTACACCCGCAAAATTAGTTCCGCCAGTTCCGCTAGGAAATTTCGCGGTTGAAGCTTCGCCATTGGCGTTAGCAACCTCCCCTATAATCTCTGATTATAATATAATGAATGAGAAAAATGAATTCACTTCTGTAATTAATTTAATTTAATTTAATTTAATTTATTAACAAAAAAGATATAGTTTAAAGAAAAAAGTTCCGAGGGACAAATGAATCTCCACGTTTCAGACGATTCTCAATCGTTTGAGTATATGTTTGTGAGCCAATTTTTCCCGAATTCATTTAACAACTTTTCGAATTTTTTAGAACTCATTTTTCATTCCGTCCATCGGTTGTTTCTCGATCATACCCGCACTCCGCTTTATTTCGAATGTTTTCGTACGTCACGGTTTCCTCGAATTAATGACACTCTCGGTTTCACGCTGTGCCGAATTATCTACACTCTGGGGTTCGCGCTCTGTCTTATCCATACTCACGGGCTCTGAACATTATCGACACGCACGGGCTTTCGACCTGTTTTACTTACAGGTACTGATTATAATATAATCAGAGATTATAGGGGAGATTGCCAGCGCCTGTGCAAAATCTTCAACAGGGTCAGAGCCCGTACCTGTAAGTAAAGCAGATCGAGAGCCCGTACCTGTGAGTAAAACAGGTCGAGAGCCCGTACCTGTAAGTAAAACAGGTCGAAAGCCCGTGAGTGTCGACAATTCTCAGAGCCCGTGCGTGTCGATAATGTTCAGAGCCCGTGAGTATGGATAAGACAGAGCGCGAACCCCAGAGTGTAGATAATTCGGCACAGCGTGAAACCGAGAGTGTCAATAATTCCAGGAAACCGTGACGTACGAACACATTCGAAATAAAGCGGAGTGCGGGTATGATCGAGAAACAACCGATGGACGGAATGAAAAATGAGTTCTAAAAAATTCGAAAAATTGTTAAATGAATTCGGGAAAAATTGGCTCACAAACATATACTCAAACGATTGAGAATCGTCTGAAACGTGGAGATTCATTTGTCCCTCGGAACTTTTTTCTTTAAACTATATCTTTTTTGTTAAGGCCCGGGTGGAGGGATTTTTGCCCGACTTGTCCCTAGGGAATTCCCTAGAAAAAACGTGTTTTGCGGGAACCCAAATGCCACCCGCTCTAGACCCTCAAAAAATGTGATTTTGGGGTCAATAAATAGATAATAAATTTCGGCAGGGCGGTAATTAGGTCTCACGGGA